ATAACTTTGGTTGGATCGTAACATAAAATTATAGAAATTCCTATCAAATTTCTTTTTTTTTTTGACCAAACGCCCTTGACCGATAAAACAAAAATGTTTTAAAAAGATTTCACACGCTAAAGAACAACTACACCCTCTTTGTAGGCTCAACATTCAAATACTGCGTATAATATAAGCATTAAGCTAAAAATCTGATGCGTACGCCTAAGGCTTTGGTGCGTGTGGGGAAGTTAAGTCTTCCGATAAGTACTCACTCAGTGTTCAAGTGTTTGGAGAGCAGTGAAAAGCAATGAAGAGCAAGGAAGAGCAAGGAAGAGCAAGGAAGAGCAAGGAAGAGCAAGGAAGAGCAAGGAAGAGCAAGGAAGAGCAAGGAAGAGCAAGGAAGAGCAAGGAAGAGCAAGGAAGAGCAAGGAAGAGTAGGGAAGAGCGTCAAGAACATTAGACATCGGGAGCAAGGGTTGGTAATAACCGCGAACGGTCTTGGTTGTTGAGGATCAGAAAGTGAAATGAGGACCAAGGACCACCTTGATATGCCTCCCAGAGATGAAGTGGTTTTGGGGAAGGAAGGAAGGAAGGAAGGAGGGAAACAGAGAGTCAAAACAGAGAGTCAAAATAGAGAAGAAAAAAAGGGAATGCCTAACCAAGGTCGCCGTACCTATGTACTTGGTAGCAGCTCGTGTTTGAGGCGATAGCAAGTACAAAACTGTCTACTTGGACTAACGTGAATGGAAAGTCGCGCTTGCAAGCTTAGTAATGGCCACAATAGCGCAAAGACTTTCTTTGTGTAGCAGGTTCCTATGTACTTCTCTCAAACAAGTACTTCTCAACACAAGCAACTGATCGCCACTTCAAAGGCATCCACAACGCCTCGCTTGCCTGACGTCAAAGCCCTGGGTATATCCATTTTTACAACCAAGAACAGCCATATCGTAACAGAACAAAAATGCTCGCTACACCCAGTAATGACCACGAGTCCATGGTAAGGAAGAAAAAAAGAAAAGAAAAAGAGAAGCAAATACATATACACATGTACTAACAAGATACTTCGTAAAGGAGGCCTCGTCCTCTTCGGTAAAGGTACCTAGTACCGTCTCAAAGCCCACTGGGAAGGCAGACCGGTGTAGCCCGATCTCCACGGGCACTCATCATCATCACCATCCTGACCATACTGACACAGAAGACAGCTGGGGTTTCCGTTGCCTGACTCAGGACCGTGACTCGCGTGTTGCTGCTGCTCGGGGTAGGCGGGCAGGCTGCCCGTCTCGAAAGTGAAGTCATGGTCTTTGCCTTTGAGGAATCCACTAGAAGCTCCTGGTGCCGTCTGTTTCAACAGAGCATTTTTCTTCTTAGCTGGGATCGCGCCCCTAGTCTTCTTCTTCTTCTTCTTCTTCTTCTTCTTGGGAGCCTGCGGCTTGGGTTTGGGCTCGGCAGGCTTGGTACCCACGGGATGGGGCTGGTTGTCCTCTGGATCGGAGCTATCAGAGTCTAGGAGAATGAAGTCCACTGTGCTCCTTTCTTTGGCCGTCTTGTCGTGCCTGCTTTTTGACATCCTAATCCTTTTCTTTGCACGTTTGGGTTGCGTCTGGGACTGGGTCACAGGTTTGTCATTGTCGGATTCGGAGTTCAACGGAATGTAATTTTCGGTACTCCTTGGTTTGGCTGTGCTTCCACCCTCCTTCTTCTGCTGTTCTTTCGGCGGCTGCGGGAGAGGCTCATGGTTCATGAGAAGTTGTGGCTGCGGCTGAGGTTCCTTTGAAGGCTTTGCCTGAGACTTTGACTCCTCGGGATTGGAGTGCGGAAGAATGGAGTCTGTTGTGCTCGTGTTCTTGGCCCTGGTCGCATCAACCTCAGTCTTCCTCCGTTTGATCGGGCGTTGTGGCTGAGGCTCGAGTTCCTCCTCCTCCGAGTCCAGAGCAATGTAGTCGCTTGGACTATTGAGGTCAGCAATGACTTGTCTTGGGCTCCATTTCTTTGCCGTCACCGCAAGCTTCAGCTTCCCCATTCTCCATAGGAGTACATGACGGTCGCGGGGCGTATAGACCCTTGCACGCTCGATGGGACCAACCTGCTCATGCAGCTTGTCCATTATGCCGTCCCTCTGGCTGTGAGGGAGGTGCCTTTGGTTGAAACCACTACCCGGTTTGGCTGTCTTCCACTTGTAGGACATATGATCAGCCACCCTGTGACCGAGCGTGGTGTTGCGAGGCATCCAAATCATTTCGATTTTGCAGCCGCGGTCGGAAAGGTAATGCGACAACCACACGATAACTTGTACAAAAGGGTTGGTGATTTTCGCGTAGAATGATGTGTCGACCTTAAGAAGAGGGCGCTTGCGCTTCAATCCATCGGCTTCAGTTGTGAGAATGCCCTTTTCAATTCGTCCTAGGTTTCCTTCGAAATCGGTAAAGATCTTGACCATTGACGCCTGCGGTTGGTGCTGATCAATCCGCTTCGCAACCTCTTCCAGTGCTTGGGCAAGAGCAGCCATCTCGCAGTGACCAGATCCGAACGTTCTATCGGATAGCCAGTGTCGTATTTTAAAGTCCCCAATCTTGATGCCGTCTTCCTCGCGAGATTTCATAGTTGTGCATGCTGCGTTGGAAGCTCTGGCGGTAGCTGCTTTGTCGGCGTCATATGGGTCGCGAAAAACCACGGCGTAACCTCCCTCCTGTTTAAGCTTTCGGCTGCCCAGTTTGTACACACTTGATCCGTCACAGAATATGGCAAACTGGGGCTTTCCGTTAACCATAAGCGGGGATTTTTGTGCAGCTCGAGCTGCCTCAGCGGCAGCGGGCCCAGCGGAATCCAGATCACTCTTTACTCGAGGGTAAGTAACGGTTCCTTTGAATGACCGCTTTTCTTTCTTCCATTGGGGGATTCTGTGGTCTGCGATGGGCGAGGAAGAGCGTCGCAAGTGTAAAGGGGTAGCAGTTGTTGCGCTGGGAGGCTGAGCAAAGAGGATGTTGGCATGGGCCACTTCGGGCTCGTCACCAGTCCGGTCGCTCTTCAACATCGCGTGCTCTTCTTCGTAATTGTTGGTCGCAGCAGGAATGGATCCCTCCAGTGAGGATATCTCCATGATGTTGGCCGCTCTCTTCGAGATGAGAGTTTTGTGACTGTAAAAGAACGACCTTGCGCGGTTGCGGTGCGGTGCGGGGCTGGACAGACGGAGCCAGGAGTGTGAGGGAAGAAACAGAGAAAAAGAGGACGCCGAGATGCACCTGCGAGATTTGAAGGGCGGGGCCACGCAAGATGCGCCTGAAGTGAAGGGAAACGACAAGAGCGCCAAGAAGTAAACGGGTAGGAAGGGACCCATCAGGCGAAGAGGGACGGGTCGCGGGTCGCAAGTGGAAGTCTCAACTCTAAACGTTCCACTCCCACTCGCGCGCGGGCCCGATGACACACCCATAAGTTTGTGCATGTCTCGCTTTTGATTCGGCACCGGTGTCAGGAACAATTTCAGCTGGAGGATGTTGGCCATGGAACACGCAAAGATGAGAAGGGGCGGTAAGGGGATCTCAGGAAAGCGGATTTAAGACGCAGAATAATAGCCACTCTAGGACCCCAGGCGCAGGCGCAAGTATTTCTAAGGGTTTCACTTAGAAAGCCCAAAATGAATAAACCTGAATTCTGCTGTACTAGATTGTGAATGACGATTGCACTAAGGTGGGTGAACCAGAGCAAGAAGACATGGCACAGGCCTAACAATCGTGTGTTTGATATCATCGCATCAACGGTTACCTATGTCCAAAATAATATTACAAACGCTTCCCTATTGAAAGACGAAGTGCGGACAAGGAGTCATGGTGTGTGAACAGTCCTAAGCACGGAAACAAAAATGAAAATAAAGACGTGAAAAGCATAACAGAGAGCGACAAACACACCGACTTAAAGAGCAAAGCGTGTTTGAAGCACCGCAAGAAACCACCTCATTGAGCAGCCCATAGATTGGAAAGTTCTGGGGTATGAGGTGACGTATGATGTGTTTACGCCTTCAAAGAAAAATGACCGTACGTCCCTCACCCTTACCGCCTATATCATTGATGATCGTCTTGGTACCCAACTTCAAAGTCCTGGAAGTTCGTGAAGTCAGCACATGGCTCTTAAGGGTCATGATTGCAAGCTCCTTATCTACACGGTATGTTATCAGCACCTCAACTGACCTCAAGGTTGATTAACTCGTAAACTTGGCGGTCAGGCTAACGCGGCGCCGTGGGAGAGAACAAGGGGAATGAATCACCGACGGCATGCGTGAAAGACTCGTTATAATGTCATTCGAGTGAAGAATGAGTCCACATTACTGCCTAACATCCCCTATGAGAAGAAATGGCGATGTATGGAATGATGAACTTGGGTCTTTCGGGAGTGGGAATCTCGCATGAATGGGAGCGAGAAACAATACTCACGTGGTGCCAGCTGTTAACACTGCAATAGTTTGGAGGAGGAAGCAAAGGCGGAAGGCACGAGCGCCGGCAAGTTGTACTTCTACCTTCACACACCACCGGCAGCAACTGGGCACGGGCCCCGCACTTTCAGCGACACGACCTACTGGGACCATCTAAGCACCTAATTCTAGACTTTGTACCACGGTCCAGTAGCCTACCTACTAGCGCGTTGGATCCAGAAAATGCGTGGTGTTTTCTTCAACCTCTGCCTTGTTCCGGGTGAGCGCCTCAGTTCAACCCTAAACATGGTCAGTTCATCTTTTTGCTTTTTTTTTTTGCTTTTTTTTCGTTTTGTTCTTTTGTAACTTTGGCTTTTCTTCACCCCCTCCCTCCAGCTGTACTGTCGGATATTTTATTTTCTTCTTTTTGCCTCTTTTCCACCGGACGTCACCTTGACAGATCTTCTCATCAGCCGACTCAGTACATTGAGCTGATTCACGATCCTGTCCCCGGTGTTCATGAGGCAGGGTTACCGTCAACACATTTGATGGCATCCATGCCAAACCTACTACTCCAGCGGAAACTCTCGTGCGCATAAGACATTTTCTCACCAAGAATCACAGTCCGTAAACCTCACGGCTTCAAGATCCTGCTTGCACCCTTTGCCGACCTATCGCAACTCGACGAGCGAGCTGCCCTCATGCGAAGCAATCCACAAGATGGAGTATTAAAATTGTAATACTCTCGAATGTTATTGCTCCCTACCATAATGCCTTGGTTGTTGTCGATGGGTCCCCCTTGGTATGTCCCAAGATCGAATGCTTTTTGTTGCCCGGCCTCCTCTTTCGGTCGGCTGCTCATTATGTCGATCTGTTAACGGAAGACGCCTATGACTGCCAAACCTAGGAGTTCCACTAACACTAACACATCCTGGAATGTCCACTTCGCCAGTGGATCCCGGACGCGGCTGTTAGTGTCAACCCACTGAAGGCCGGTGTGCTTGGGTATCGCACTATCAAATTGCGATTTACCGCATACTTCAACTTGTCACCGTGTTGTCATGTCGGGTCACATTCGAGCATCATTGTGCTTCTCGACATGGATGATTCCCAACGACATTCTCATCGTGAAGAACGGGCAATGCAGTGGTGCCAACTTGGCCTCCAAATCCTCTAACATACCTAAGACCAAGTCATCCCCAGGAAGTTGCGTCCACGTGGAAGTCCCGCGGATCCTTCAGTCCACTCCGGTCAATGGTCCGTGCTTCAGATCCGAGGCAAGTCCAAGTGTGAGTTCCCTTCACTTTTTGGGAGTCGGTTCGCCCATCGCTCCTTCCATGCCTTCTTCCATGACCGGTCGTGAAATCTTGCCCACTTCGGTTTTCTTCTCTTTTTACCCCGCACATACCGTCTACGGGGGGGATGTTTGTTTTTGCCCTGTCGCTCTCTCACATTTCATTCTTCTCCCAACTCAGATTGCCAGGTCGTTTCATCACCGCGCGAATCAGTCAATTCATCAGTCTTTGTCTCTCGCCGGTAACCTTCCAGCAAGGAAATTGACATTCTCGTTCATTACATAGACCTTCTCTTTCGCCCAAATCCCAACCTTTTGTACGTGACGCAGAGACCAACACTATACGGCAAGTTACCCCGATATTCTTCTTTATTTGATCGTTAGTCCTTAATGTGTCGCTTCAGAGCTTCAGTGTTTCTGCCGCCATTGTCATTGAGTGCTAACAATGTTGCTGCAAGCCCCTCACATATAAATACCATGTCACCAAGGAAGCGCGACCGCGGGACTTTGTCTTCCTCGCCTCAAAGTCATACTGACAAGCGACCTCGAATCAAAGAGGACGATACTGGCAAAAGGTCATCCCAAAGCGAGGGAGAAGCCCCCATGGACCTTGCCTCTAGCTCTGATTCTGAGCCAGACACAATAACCACAGTGAGGCCCTTTTCCAACTCGCTCACACACCAGCGCCCTGCTCCTGCACCAGAAAGCGAGACCTCCGAAACCGATAGCACGACGGCTTCGACAACAGACGATGACTCGGATGACAACGACGAGACCGAAGGTGACAGGGACAGCGAGGAGAACACGGGTGTCGTCAGCTGGGGATGGGGTGATGCTCATTTTCAGTATGAGCTTGATCCTGTCCGGGCAGTCGGACAAGACCAAGAGCAGGACACCCCATACTCTGATCCTCGGATCCCTCTCTGGCAGCAAGAAGATCGGATCTTCGCAGATGACATCCTCAAGGAGTATCCAGAGATAGCCAGTCTCGTGGCCGTGAGTGAGTCACACGGACCGCTTGAGATCGACGGGGTTCCGCAGCTTTCTCTCTTTTGCGACGGATCCATGAAGGACTCAAATTTCGAAGGATGGAAGATGGGAGGTTATAGTGTAGCCTTCCGTGACCCATTCTTTGGCACGGGCGACTCCGTTTCCCAAGCGGATCCAGCGCGGTTTCTCGCAAAGCAAGCCGTTCGAGAGCATTTACAGGTCTCAAGCTTTCAGCAGCAGGAAGAGAATGAGAGCCGAGAAGGTCTTGCTCAAGTGGCAGACTTCACCATCCTCGAATATGCCACCCAGGCCCTTTCCGTTGGCCACGTTGAGCTGGGCGCAATTTCGCAATGCTTGGAAGTAGGTATAATGCTACAAGACGAACATCAACGGGATTCTATGAAGATCAGAGTCTTCACAGACTCTGCCGCAGCCGTTGAGCGGCTCGAGTTTGGCATTCTCCCCCTGGACAGTGACGAAGGAAGTTTCTTTCGCTGGTCCACCAACCCGCTAGTCCGAACCATTGTCTGGCAATCACATTACCTTACGAGCGTGGCTGCTCAATTAAAATCCGTTGGCACCCTCGTTGCTGTGCCTTGGGTCCAGCTCTTGCTGATGCGGCAGCCTCTTCGTGGAAGTCCTTGGGAAGAAGCCGATTTTGCCAGACAAATCTGCCTGCTAATGCCAGAGATGGGATATTGGACAAGCTGCACAAGTGGACCGAAGATGTAATTAACTGGGAGCCCAAAGAGCAACCGGAGAAGAACCCGGAGGAGCAGGGGGCGGAAGATTAGTGTCTGACAGGACTGAGCTTGGCTCGGACCTGTGGAACTCGGTCATCATAGAAGAGTCATGGAGTAGATGCGTGTCAGGAAGATCAGTGATCAAAAGGTGGTTTCGTTTTTCGTGGAAGGAGGTCCTCCTCCATTGAAACTAACCAGGGAACGTGATGTATCAAAAGTACTTGGTGTAGAGCTTAATTCAAGGGGATGCGTGATCGATAAGGTGAAACGCAGGAAAATACAAGTGTAATTGTCTCAAGTGTGAATCGACTTGCGCTGTCTACCTCTCGTAACCCCAGACCCTTTCCGTCCTGTAACCTCATGCTTTCATGGAAGCTTTTCCTTCCAAACTTTTCCATACCAGGTCAAATGTGGCTGTGCCAAGACTCGGACACGCGCATAATATTTGCCGGTAACGAGCTTCTGCCGGCACCCTTCCACTTTGTCATCCTTCCCCTTCACCTTCACCTTCACCTTCGTAGCCCTCCACTCGTTTAATTAAACTTCTTTGCCTCACTCACCCAACAGAGTCGTCGTTCTTCATTAGTATTTCACTTTTGGACGTCAAACCATCACGACATTGCGACAGACTTGTCTTTTGCGGCAACTATTTCGCTTTTCCACATCCAATGGCCGGCACCAAGAGATCGGCTCCGTCGAGGAGCTTCTCACCGGAGGACAGCCCGAGCAAGAAGACGCGAATTGACCGCCATGTCGACATGAAGCAGCGCGGCGCACAAGACAAGAACTTTGAGCGGAAACAGGAGGAGGAGCTGAAGGCCTCGACGGAGTACCATGAGCAAGCGACGAACGATAAAAAGATGGCAGTGAAGAAGGACTCGAGTGTGAAAGACGAAGCCAAAAAGGATGAAGAAACCCGATTCCAGCCGACAGCCGTCATCGACCACTTTCAGAACGACGTTACCACGTGCGACGGTCGCGACACATCACCGACTGTTTTGCTCAAGGGGAATGATGAGAATCTTCCCTCAAGTCGCATGAAGCTTCAGGAGCCGGTCGAGAAGGATGAGAAACAGAGGTGACAGATGGAGTCGCCGATGATTGCTTGGGGAGCCACGATAAATTAGCCAGCTCTTCTTCAAAAGTTGCTACCAACAAGCGCGCCCTCCTGGAGTTAAAGGTTGAAACCGAGACGGATACGGAGAAGGGCACGGTACTGGCTGGTATGACTGCGATTGCTTCGGAATTTTTGGCAGAGGGCCCGTCTTGCGACCCTCCGACTCCCGGCAAACCACAGCAAGCACAATCATCACGACTGTGGAACCTCTGGATGCTGCACCAGAACTGGCCTCGTTTACTCCCGCGAATTTGAACGCGAAAGCCCAGAGTTCTCCGAGGAAGACCCTGTCGGAACCCAGGATGCCAAAGTGAATGAGTTCAATTCCCAAGAGCTTTCATTTGCGAGGGCAAGATCACCCTGATCCCCTACGCATTCCCTGGATATCAGAATTTCCCATTGGTTGGACGAAAGCGGTTATTATGCCGCGAGAATCAAAATCGACAACAATAGGACGAGAGCTAGCTTTATCGCGCGAGAGGCTACTCAGACCCCCTTGATATACCTAAGCTTGGGATCCGGATATATGCCCGTCACATGGGCCCTTCAACCCTACAGATCTTATGAACAAGGGAAACTTTCACTACAACCGCAAACTCTTCGAACACCTCCACCTCCAGACACGTTATACCACAGCCTCCGAGTAGACTGCCTTAGTTGCCGCCGCCGCCGCCACCGTTACCGCTTCCTCCTCCTCCCTCACCACCACCGCTATGCCCACCTTCTCCATGTCCTCCCGCATGGCCTCCCGCGTGCCCTCCACCATCACCTCCCCCTTGCCCCTGGCCTTGACCACCATCCTTCCTGTCCATAGGGATCATCTCAACAACAACCGGGTGATCGTAACGTCCCTCACCCTCAGTCCCAGCACGTGGAGCCTCAGCAGCTGTCCCTGGTGATGCCTCAACATCAGCACCAGCAGCTGCTGCGCCTTGTTCACTATCTTGTCGTTGTTGTTGTTCCTGCTTTCTCCTCTTGTCTCTTCTCCTTCCCCACCATATCCTGAAGCCGAAGCAGAGGGCGAAGACGAGGACGACGCCTAGGCTGAGGGCGATTACTTCGCCAATGTTCCAGACTCCGTTGCCCATTGGGGGGTTGATGGTGGTGTTGGGGCTGGGTTGGTGGTGTTGATTTAGACGTCTTTGTCTTTGCCGATCAGGCTATATCTTGGTTGCATGTTTAGCATTCAGAGCCAATACTCCCGTCATTAAAGGGATGAAGCAGCTGACGTACCGGAGGCTTTCTCGGATCGATATAATCACTGCCCGTACTGCGATCATGACTGGACTGGACAGATGACAGGGCGTCCCCGGTCACGGACATTTTTCTCAATGGGATCTTGCTTCTATATAGGTCGCCTCCATTTGGATCCTATAGGAGGATGACCACCCCATTCTGGGAGATGACAGACAGCGGTCACCCTTGGACAAGCGGGTAGAGATTGGACAGGTGTACGGCGTCCTTCTCGAAAGACGAATGTTCTCGAGCTTAAGGTGGTACTCGAGTCACCCGGATCACGTCAAACGTTGCGTGGAACATGGGAGTTGGTGGTACAGCTTGTTTCAGACCGGATGCCAGCGCATTTGCCTAGCACATTTATGGAAGACGAAAGATGGTGGAAGTCCCGAGGTAAAGGCAACAAAGGAACATGCTGGTAATTGAGATTGTGAGTCACTGAGGCCGTGTGCAAGCAGTACATGCCTTCTATCATTCTCTGAGAGCCACGATCAAAACAAGCCAATACCACAGACTCTTATTAGCCCCATTTATGATCCTTTTGCTGAGGTTCCCCCAACCCTTTTATCCCCCCTCTCAACTGCGGACCTCTGACCACATACACCACAGTGACCACACCTACTCTAGACATCCCGTCATTCAACCTCAAAAACAGGCGACGGCGACTGCAATTCCACAGCTCTTTCTGTCGTCGGTAGCTCAGACAGCCTGGCAGACCACTGCCACGGTAGTTCAGAGACCTCATCGGTCTTAGGAGACTGTACTGGTGCCTCATGAGTCTCTGGTGACCCATCAGACCCTGACTTCTCTGCAAGTCTTTTAGCCCTCCTTCGTTTCCACCAGAATGCCAAACAACCCAGTGCTAGAATAGCCAGGACTGGTCCTGCGGCGGCTCCGGCTATCCAGGCTTTTGAACCAGAGGAGGAGGAAGATATTGTAGGGACATTGGAGTCGTCGGCAGTAGGCTGTGGTTGAGATTCCAACCCGGAGATTGACGACGCGGGGCTTGCTGTCCCCGTTGTCATCTCGCTGTCTTGGGAAGAGGTTGTTGTTGCTGCTGTTGAAGTAAATGTGCCCGGGCTGCGATAGAGCGTAAAGTGGTGATCACCGGTGACGTCAACGGGCTCGCACCCGAAACTCACCCAGCTTAAGCTCGCTGAGGGATAGCTTTCGTAGATGGTGGTGGTGAGGCAGTAAGCTTCCCATCCGGTGCTGGGATGGTTAGATGCATGTTAGTCTTTTGTGTTGTTATGCGCTCAATGTACCCTACTACAGACATGGCAAGTACGCAAAAGTTTGTGCTTGTGCTAGTGCTGAAAGGCTTGGGATTGAACATACCATATTTGTGATTTTCCATTCGCAAAGTATTGCGTGATGGCCGAGCAAGCAGTCATCATCTCATCGTTGAACCAGACATCACCAGCAATCATGCAGGTGGCATAGGTGCTACTGACGTGAAAGGTGCTATCATCCGGGCATGTTAGCCACGATCCTGAGAGTCTGTTAGCTTTGGGCTTTCGCGCTTGGCTCATTCGCATCAAATATCAGACACGAGGGTTTTACTACAGGAACAGGACTCCTACTGGTTTGGGCCTGGAAATCAGTGGTGAAACCAATCAGACTCCTTGGTATTATGATTCCCTTTTGCGTATATGCAGTCCCCGCATAGACGCACCCAAGGAGTATGTACGGCAAAGACAAGCGAAGCGTCATGGTTGAAGTGAAGCAGAACAGATCGGGATGCACGAGGAGTCAGCAAGTGTTGAAGCGGAAGCAATGGAGGAAGACAAAGATGGGCAGAATGTATTGATTGAAGAGAGAAGAAGGGAGAGAGTGATCGTAAGGATCACGAGCGAGCTTATGTACATAACCCAAGTGGGGAACGATCTGGTAAGGCTGAGATGCGAATAACTTCAACAGCAAGCTCATGGAAAATGGCAAAATCCCAGCAAGTCAAAAACTCGGATCATGGAAGGAAAGGCTTAAGAGTGATCTTATAGAGCGATTGAAACGAAGTAAACAAGAAGAAAGTCTGCACATAGTGATTGGTACACAGACTCCGCCAAATGCGTAGTACCTTCGCCGTTCGATTCGCTTCGGCAATGCTTGAGCCCGTGTTTGGTTGCGTTGTACCTCGCCACCGCGCAACATGTGGAACCTTGTCTCTTTTTTTCCGTGGCATTGTCGTTCGATAGGCAAGGTTTGCCTCTGACAAGCGGCATGCTATTGCGCGGCTTAACAGAGATCAGGAACCGAGTTTTGATGAGTCGCATGGTCTGTATGAGCACCATCTCCACCCCACCATCGCCGTTGGTATCTCCTGCAGCATTAAAAATCGTGAAAAGGACCCAGGGCGTCTGCCTGGGAAGTTAATGTTGGCTTTGATGACGTAGCACTTACAACTGCAGAGGTAGATTTAGATCGCCGAGGTGGTAATTGGGCGTGTGCCGGAAAAAGATCAGAAAGCCGCTGCAGAGGGAGTGGCGGCGGAGGGGGATAAAGGTCTTGGTGAACATCAAGAGTTTGCATACTTGCTTGTCTTCGAACACTCCTCGCACCACTCGTGAACATTGATCTCCCATCACAGAACGGATACGAGAGTGTTGTGTTTGTTGGCGTAGCACTTAGAATCGTAGAGCTAGGTGGCCGATATAGCGACGGGGCGTCTGCCGGAAAACGACCAGAAAGCTGCTGCCGGGGAAACGGAACCGGAGTCAGATGGAGGTCTTGAATCTCTGGGGCCTCAACTGAACGGTGAACATCAGGTATACTTGCTTGTGTTTGAACACACCTTGCACCACTCGTGACGGTTGACCTGCCGTCACCAGAAACTTGAAGAACTTGGCCGTTGTTGCTGTTGTTGACTGGCTGAACTCCGGACTTCCTCCTGGTACCCAACCAGTATCCCAAGGCCCCGGCTATTATGGCAACAACTGGGCTGGCCACAGCACCGGCTATCCAGGCCGGCTTTACTGACGATAGAGAGTTGACAGGGACTTCAGGTTTAGTTGAGGAGGGCGTGGCCATACCGCCCGCTCCAGATGCCGGGCTCGGTTTACTTCCATTGGTAGTGTGTCTGGAGGTAACGGTGCTCGTGGGGATTGCTTCAATACCAGCAATAGGGATAGAGGAAGCAACAGCATTGGCCAAAGACTCATTAATCTCGCGAAAGGCGGTGTGAGCGCTCCAGTCGTTTCCACAGTCATAGACCAGCCAGCTGTTAGCGGCGTACGGCCAGGACTCGTAGATAGTAATTGAGACGCACTCAGCGTATGTGCGCGTGCTTTGACTCAGATAAGATAATTAGTTCGACTGTTCTTGGTTTCAAGGTAAGGTCCTGGGGATGCCTTTCTTGGATTGGACCGCGAGGTGACATATGGGCAAAGTCCAAGCGAGGCAAGAACATGGAACTTACCACGTTTGTGTTCGCCCGAATCTATCTGTAAGAGTCCTTGCATGACACCTTGTAGCAATGCCACACGACGTGGCCGTCGACGGACAGCACCCTCCATAGGTGCCCAAAGTCCAGAAGACAGAATCAGGTGAACAAGTTAGCGTGGACTCTGTAAATCCCGCTGTTAGATGCCCTTATTTGGCCATTTTCGTGATTGGGTTGATATGTTCAAAGTGGCATGAACTCACTTTGGCCATCTGCATGACGGTAAATGCCCTCAAAGTTCGGCGCGCGAGTGGTCGTTTGCGAAACTGCTAGATTGATGACTGTCCAGAACGTTGTGAAGTAGAGCCAACTGCATAAGGGCTGGGAAAATCGTGTCCGTCTAGCCATGAGGTCGCTTATAGACACGATGGGCGGGGGAATCTGATGGGAGCGCACTGCAACAGTTCATCGTAAAGAGAGTATTCGCGGAGGAGAAAAGGAGAGAGGGGTGGCAAGAAGGATGTCTTGATGCCTGGAGAGCCGAGAAGGCCTTGTTAATGGGTGATCAAGGGATCGAATTAATGACACAGTCGAGTCTCAGGGGTGCTTCGGTCAAGCCGCAAAAGTGGAAGTTTTCCCAGACTTCAGCGACTACCGGTGTTGAAGTCATGGTCAGCAGAAGCTTTGAAGCTCTGGGGTTGGCCTTTGCGCGCAATCCAAGGTCCACTCGCCAAACATACGACGGCAAGTGCACCATTGCTCTTCCTTTCAGTCAACAAAGAAGCATGGCATTGAGCTAGGTACGTCCAGTAAGAGATGGAAGATGA